GAGCACGTGACACACCGTTTCACCACGTTACTGTCGCACAGATAATGAGCACGTGACACACCTTTTCACCACGTTACTGGTGTAGCTGTACACCTCTGATGTTGAAAGCAGAAGGTTGCGGGGTTTAGTTTTTATTCTGATGGAGCTGCTCGAGAGAATACGGTCTAATGTCCCGGGACAATATCCTCCTACTGACCCTTCCTGATGATCCCGTCCCCTCCCGCTCACAGGGCCCAGTGCATTCTGGGAGGAGGGAGGAGGCGACTACTGGGTGAGGGGACGTCTCCCCTCCAGGAAGGGCCTCGTGGTTAAAATAGCAGAGTTTGAGAAAAAACACTAAGAAGTGCGCCAGAGAGTGACCATAACCATAAATTTAGGACTGTATCCCTACCATAGGAGTAAGGACTCAAGTGAATCCATGAGAAGGAGCCCCAGCCCTGCTCCCCTGACCTCTTTCCTTGTCATTTTAAGGTCACAGTGGGGCACCACCCAGACTGTGTCTTGTGCCTCTGATGGACCTGGGAAAAGAGATATTCCCACCATGGAGGGATGCTATGGTCTTTATTCTGTTGTATATATTCTGTTTCCTATACAATTATGTATGTTGCATAACAGAACTGTATGCACCACTGTCCATGGGTTTCGCTTAGCTTGTTCTGGCAAGGTGGCCTGTAATTCCACCCACAGCCACAAGAGGGCGGCCACGTCCTCTCAACCCCTTGTGATTCTCCTAAATCTCTTCCAGCTGGAAATTTCAGTGGTGGCTGTCAACTGTCACGAAGTCCCGAAGGAACCGCAGATGTGCAACCTATCGCTTTCTTGTATGCCTTTTGAGGTCAGCTATCAGATCCGTAATAATGAATTCAAAACTGGCCCTGGCGCGTGTAGGGTGTGTGTGTGTGCCCTGTGATGGACTGGCGTCCCGTCCAGGGTGTACCCCGCCTTGCGCCCTTTGCTTGCTGGGATAGACTCCAGCTCTCCCGCGACCCTGTGCTGGATAAAGCAGTTAGAAAATACATGAATGGATAGAACCATTTATTCATTTATCCTCCTGAATGTTTTTAATTGGCAAGTTCCACTAGACTCCGTCTGAAATATCCAAAAAAAGCAGTCAGGTCGTCAGTCTGAGATTGTGGCATTGAGGTGCAGTCCTTCATTTCCTCTGGAAGGATCAGCACTTACAGTTTTAGCTAATGCACTGGTCAGTAAGAAAGAAAGAAACTGTTTGAAATAGACTAACGACAGAAATGGTAGGTTGATATTCTTCATTGTAGCTCCCAAATAACACAGCGTTACCCTACTGCTTTGGATTAAATTGTGTTAACTGGTCTGTGTTGACACCGAACTGGTGAGTAATGTGCATATTCAGTATATACGCAATGTGTGACACAGTGGCACTCAGGTCCAATATCCTGGCCTGTGGATCTTGTTTTCTTTCCATCAGAAGTGTCTAAGTCTTAAAGATCAAACGTGTTCCATGACACCAATATAGAGTAAAGAGAAAATTGCCCTGGCCCTTTCTATCATCAGGTTGGGCATCTGATCAAAGAGAAAATGGAACAATCTTTTGCTTTCCATTTATCAGTATTACATTTTTAAGCGGCGGTATCTCTCAGCTGGAGTCAAACACTAACTCTTTCTGCCCCTGGAGCTTCTCTTGAAAACTTGCCGAAAATGCAGAACAGCTGTGTATGGTTACAGTCTCCAGTGGAATCTCCCTTTCTCTAAAGTGCACATGAAAATTCTGCAGTTCTCGTTTCTCGGACCGGTTATGAATTCTCTCAGTTAACAAACTAAGTTGACAGTATTGCAAAATTGTATGTATTCTGTATTCAGCACGAAAAGTACTGCAACTTGCTATGTTGTTGAGAGTTTGCACAAATTGCGACATGAAGCGGCCCTTCCTGCTCACTAGTCCCTGTGATGACTGATGTACTGAGATGTCTCAGTGAATAAGTACAGGTCGTGCAGCAGCTATTTCACCACAGAAATGTTCCAGTGTGATCCGCAGGCAGAGTGAATGAGTAAGTAGTATTTGTCGGCAAAAAAGTCAACATTTCTATTGGATTAAAAGAGATGTAGTCACCAGCCTGCTTTTTGAAAAGTAATAGGGGCTTTTCAAGTCACGTGCAAAAGCAAAACTCCAGTATGATAACGACAGCAGGTCTGAAAACAAGGCTATAAAGTCGGCACTGAACTATCAGTGTCACGATCGCCATCCGTCTTCTTAAGGGCGCTCCGGCCCTTTCGTAATTTAAGTTGATCATGTGCACATGCCCCATGTTTTGTCTTTCATTATTTAAGCCCGGCGCTCCCTCTATTCCTGGCTCAGCACTGGGAGATGGACGCCTGGAAGCCCATCTACCAGCAGGTCCAGGAGAGACCTGACGGCACAGGCTTCATCACGGCTTCCTGACCATCTGAGTCTGGAGCTCGGAGCACCTGGCCTCGTCACCCTGGTTTTATTCCCTGTCCCTGTTCCGGATCCCGTTCCGGATGTTAACCTTACTTGTCTCGGATGGATCTCCCGGTTCCTGGACCCTGGACTGCGCCCCGGATTCCCCCCTTGTTTGGACTCGTTTGCCTTCTCCACGTCCCCCGAGCACCGGATCACCGCCGTCACGCCCCCCCTGTCTGTCAACCTGTCCTGATCCTCTTCGTCTTTTCCCTGTTGTCCTCATGCACTTACGTCCAGATTATACCGTCTGCATAGGGTCCTGAACTATGCTTCACGGGAGCCCGGACCAGCTCCCGTTAAAATCAGAACATTCGTTCTCGAAAAAGCTGCTGCAACATCTCCTGTTACAACGATATTGCTTATGATATGGAGGGTCAGCCGGCGATGAGTTCCATCTCAAGTGATCACATCCATGCAATGAGGAAGCTTTGTGTATTTGTAGCTCCCGTTTGGGACTATACATACTGATGGGGAAAAGAAACGCAACACGTCCTCCTCCACACTCTGGCCCTCCCGTCGGCGTGGAACAGGCTGAAGAGTGACTCGTCCGTGAGGAGGACCTGATGCCACTGCTGACGAGTCCATCACGGCCTCTGTCTGGCCCGAGCCAGTTGGGTGTGAAGTCTAGCAGGTGTGAGCAGAGGGCCTCTGACAGGTCGCCTTGCTCTAAGGCCAGCAGCATGGAGCCTCACCGTCTTGTCACTGATGTGGGCATTGTGTCTGCCGGCAGTCTCAGCAGCAGTACGGGTGGCAGATCTGAAACCATCTCTCAGATGGACCAGTCTGATGTCCTGCTCTGGTGTGGTCACTTGTGGGCGACCGGATCTTGGACAGTCATCTGTCCTGCCGGTCTGCTGAAACCTTCTCTGCAGTCAGGACACAATGGAACGGCTTACTCCATAGTATCTGGCAACGCTGGCACATGACATGCCTGCCTGAAGCATGCCAATGGCCCTCTCCCTTGCTTCTGGTGACATTCAAGGCATTATGGGATGCACAGAAAACTGACTAAGCGGGGCCTTTTTCTTGCAGTGACCTAAGGTTTCAATTAAGGCCTTTTTAAAAGGTGACCTGATCAGGCATTGTTCCACCTGGACCTCGTTGGGTAGAAGTGCACTTAACCAGCTTTCATGTGATTGGCAAGTTGCGATGCCTCACTGCACAAGCTGTGTCATAGGGCTTAAAACAAATTGACAACTGTTTGTGAAAGTCCATAAGCTATAACTGTAGTATTCTAATTCCAGAACATGTTGCGTTTCTTTTTTCCCATCGGTACGGTTTATGCTGGCCCAGAATGCGTTAAGATGACGTGCTCGAATTTGTGGAACGGGGAGTTCAATGCTGTATTATGCGGCAGATATGCAGGAGCAGAGTAGGGGTGTAACCCCGGTGTCCTGGCCAAATTTCCCCCCTGGCCTTTACCCATCATGGCCTCCTAATAACCCCCATCTCTGAACTGGCTCCATCACTCTGCTCTCCTCCCCACTGAGAGCTTGTGTGTGGGGAGCAGACTGGCGCCTCACCCAGGTGGGGCTGCACACTGCTGGGGGTGGAGGGGATCCCCATGACCTGGAAAGCTCTTTGAATGGAGTGTCCAGAAAAGCGCTATATAAGCGTAAGCAATTATTATTATTATTATTAAACACAACCACTCCTGGGCACCCGCTCTCACTGTGGGCTAGCCCAGAGTTGGTGCACCTTTCCTGACGGACATCTATTCATCAAGAAGCCCGAGCAGAGAGCGTGGAATGAACTTTCACCTGATCTGCTCCTCACGCCCTTGGTCAGTTGAGTCTTGCTTGGCCAACTCCTGCTGCAATCCAGTTTATAGGAAGCTAGGGGCCACTACCAACCTCCAATCTACTGTATAGAGCACCCCATCATTTTTATTTCTAAAGCACCTTTTCTGAACCCAAGACCTCTGCACTGCCCAAACAATGCAACAAAAACAACGTGAAAAAACCAAGACAAACTGGGAGGCAATCAGACACCGAAAAGGCCGGATTTACTGTTTAGCCTTGAAGAGAGTTGTAGAATTCGGAGTCAGGGCAGTCAAAGTCGGAGAGTAACTCCCTGGGACAGTGGGCAAAAGACCAGCCTCAGCTGAACAGAGCCTACGAGAGGGACTGCACACATGGAGGAGGTCAGAGATGTGTGATGGCGCCAGATTGTTCAGAGCCTTATAAGGCAGGGAGCCCCAGGAGGCCACGCCCCCTTCGCCCAGTCCCCTCCCCCTCGGTCCCGTTTGGTCGGAGCCACGCCCACCTGGCTCCATGGGCTTGGGCGTCAGGGCAGGCTTGCCAGGCTGCTTGGGGCCCTGCTCAGCTGCTCCCGGGTGGAAGTTCTGGGGCTGAATGGACACGATTTGCCGGTAACTCTGCAGGCTGTAGCCCTTCCCTGCCGGACAGATCTTGGTGAAGGAAGCTGGGGAGCAGAGAGCAGGGAGGGAGACAGAAGAAGACCATTAGAGAGCAGTTAAGAGCTAAGTATCCTACTGTTTCTTGAAAGAAGCCAGGGTATCGGCTTCAATACCATGGATAGACAGCTTGTTCCACACTCCCACCACCCTTTGTGTAAAGAAGTGCCTCCTCTTCTCAGTTTTACACCCACTTTCCAATTCTGTCCTCGGGTGCGTTTCACTTTTTAGTCTGAAGATGCACAATGGCAGTGATCTGACAATGACAACACTAAGAGAAGATTGTTACAGTGACATCATTGCCACCGACAGAGCTCTGCTCCGTCTTACCCACGCCAAGCACAGGCCTGCTGTTGGCATGACAGGTCTGACAGCTGACAGGGCCTGAGGAGGACCAGGAGCTCATGGCTGCCTGGGGCTGAGGAGGGCAGGGAGCTCATGACTGTCCACGAGGAGGGATAGCAGCTCAGGACTGTCCATGAGCAGGTCTAGTAGCTCAGGACTGTCCATGAGGAGGTCCAGGAGCTCAGGACTGTCTATAATGAGGACCAGGAGCTCAGGACTGTTCATGAGGAGGGCAGGGAGTTCCGGACTGTCTGGGCTGAGGAGGGCAAGTAGCTCAGAGCTGTCAAAGGCTGAGGAGGGCAGGGAGCTCAGGACTGTCTGGGCTGAGGAGGGCAGGGAGCTCAGAGCTGTCCAGGGCTGAGGAGGGCAGGGAGCTCAGGACTGTCTGGGCTGAGGAGGGCAGGTAGCTCAGAGCTGTCCAGGGCTGAGGAGGACTGGGATTTCAAGACTAGCTTGGGGCCAAGGAGGTCAGGGAGCTCAGGATTGTCCAGGCCTAAGGAAGGCCAGGAGCTCAGGGCTGCCTGAAACCACAATCTCAGAGGGCATCCAGCTGCACAAAGTGACATTCACGGGCGTGACAAACACTGACCTGTGCCAACCTGCGGGCAAGTCTCGCAACCCCGGCCCCAGGCCTTGCCCACGGTGCAGCAGCACATCTCCTGGGTCAGCTCGGTGGGCAGGGCGTGCTCGCACTGGCCTTCCACCGTCACCATGCGGTAGCAGGGCCCCGTTTCTCCCGGAACGTCTGCGCGGCGCACCGGAAGGGCAGAAGAGGGAGACTGGTGAGACCCGGGGCGGAGGAGCAGGAGTCCGATGTCAAACCAAGAAGGGGGCAAGGCATCGTCACGCTGGGAAAACGTCACACTCTCCGCTGGAGCTCGGCGATGGCCGGAGCTGATCGCGTGGAACCCAGCAGCCTCTGACATTTCCCGCTCTCTGACCCTGAGGGTATCTGAGCCTGAACACTGCGATCAGACGGCTGCCGGGCAATTTGATGTTACTGGATTGGGACATCAAGGTACGGTTTCCCAGCCCAGTGCAGTGATCTTCTAAACTATTGGAATGCTGTTATTTTATGTCCACGGCATTCATTTTCTAACAGCTGCCCTACAATTCGGGGTCGACCTAAGTCTATCCCAACCGGCAACAGGCGCAGGCAAGGCAGGGCACAAACACACACCAGGGCCAATTTTCCCAGAAGCCAATTCACCTCCCAGCATGCCTGTGGCCTGTGGGAGGAAACTGGAGTGCACCTGGAAGAAACCCAGGGGAGAACACGCAAACTCCCCGCGGACGGCACCCCCGGGTCCAGAATTGGAGCCGGGAGCCCCCCAGCGCTGCCGCGGGACTCAGATTGTAACAGGAAATCGGCGGGGAAGTAGACAAAGAACAACCGCTAAAAAGGGGAACAGCCCTGTTTCGCTCCGGACGGGAAGGGAAGGCGGCGGGGAGGGCGCTCACCCACGCAGCGCGCCCTCTCCTGGACGAAGCCGGGCTTGCAGGCGCAGCGGAAGCTGCCCTGAGTGTTCAGGCACTCGCCGTTCCGGCACACGCCCTGCATGGTGCACTCGTTGATGTCTGCAGAGAGAGAGAGAGAGAGACAAAGTGTCACGCCTGACATCCCTCCCTAGAGGGCACTCCCCTACTCCCGGTATTGTCCCTGTGATTGAGCTCCCCAGGTGCTCTGGAGCGGGAGCGGGCGGGAGGAGAGCAATCGGACAATATCCGAAACAGAACCGAAACAGGCAGGGATCAATCCGGAAGGCGAATCGGACCAGGGTTCGAAACCCAGACGTCTATCCCAAGCACGGGGTCAAACGGTGGGGTTTGTTGTCCCTCCTCTAGAGGGCGCTCCGAGCCTTTTGTGTTTCTCATTATCCCGTTCACCCGCCCCCCCTGTTCCGATCTTTATTTAAACCCGGCGCTCCGGAAAGTTCGGAGCTCTGCATCGAAGACGGAACACCCGGCAGCCAGTCTAGCATCAAGTCGCCCCATATTCGCGGCTCGAAGGCGCAGGCTGCCAATCGGCACCCTGACCTAGCTGAGTCCCACGTCCTTCCGACTTTAACTCCCTGTTCCCGTTCCCCCTTCCCCGGGATTTTTACCGTTCGTGTCTCGGATGGACAACCCGGCTTTGGAATGTGGACTCCTAGTTTTCCCTTTTGGACTTGTTTGCCCTTGCACCTGGATCCACTGTTGGCACCTCCCCCCGTTCGCCACCCCTTCCATTCCGCGGGATTTGAACCAGCAAACCTCCCAGCCACGGGCGCAGATCCTGAGCCACAGCGCCACCGCTCCTCCTCTCCTCCCCGTGGTTCACAAACATGGGGAGAACATGCAAACAGCACCCCAGGAACTGAACCCAGGCCACTGAGCCCTCATCTGAAATCTGAACTTGGCAGAAGGACGAGAGGCAGTGTGTGATCCACAGGCCTCGCCCGACTTTGGAGGCCGTACCTTGGCAGTGCGTGCTGTTGAGTCTCTTGTAGCCCTGGGGACACGTGGGGCCCACCTCCCCGATGATGGATCCGGTCTTGGGGACTCCGGAGTCTGGGGAAAAGAGAAGGAACGCGAGTTCGGAATGGGTGTGGGGAAAAGACGGGCCACACCCTGAGAGGGGGGAGGGGGAAGGGAGTGCGCTCTGTTCTCGACAAGATCGCCAAAGCTGGGGGAGATTCTGGGGTTCACAGCTCTCCTGGCTTAGGAGATCCCAAGCTTTAAACAATTTTTAAAGTGTTAAAGTATTAAGGTGGAAAATTCCCCCTTAAAGTTGAGAACTCT